TTCTTGTCTCTCATGAATAAATAAGTAAATAAATCTTAAGAAATATATAAATTGGGGGTTATAGAATTTTAGTAAATTGGGAATTTGAATATTATTACTGTGTCAGTTCTCCCCAAATTGATCTGTAAATTTACTGTGATTCTCATTAAATTTGACTAGGTCTTGGTTTTGTGGCAATTGAGAGATGATTCTATAATGAACATAAAAATATTTAAGACCAAAAAGCAAGAATGATAGAAGAACAAAGTCAGAGTTTTAAAGCACTGAATATCAAAACTTATTGCAAAGCTGTGATAGTTAAAACAGTGGTACAAAGAAAAGTATCAAGGGACACCTGGGTGGCTCAGCAGTTGAACATCTGCCTTTGGCTTAGGGCGAGATCCCGGAGTCCCGGGATCATGTCCCACATCGGGCTTCCTTCATGAAGCCTGCTTCCCCCTCTGCCTATGTCTCTGCCTCTCTCTCTCTCTCTGTCTCATGGATAAATAAATCTCAAAAAAAAAATTAGGCTCAGATGGCCCTCCAGTAAACTGCTGAGACAGCTGAACATATAGAGAACATAGAAAATTAGCTTCATGCTAATCATAAAAATGAATTTGTGGTATATCTAGAGGTAAATGTACAATGTGAAAACTTTCTGAAAAGCATACAGGAGAATATCTGCACGATCACTGTTATAGGCAGATACTGCTTTGTTGAGGACACAAAATACGATGGCCAAAAAATAAAAATAAACTGGGTTTAACTACACTAAAATTCAGAACTTTGAAATTTTTATTTTATTTATTTTTTGTAAAAGAACTTTGAAATTTTTAGAAAAAAGTAGATTAATTTAAAATACTGACTCAGTTTCAAAACTTTTAGGTCAAATGTACTAATTTATTTTAAAACATCTTTGTATCATTGTTATTTTTTTAAGATCTTATTTTTAAGTAATCTTACACCCAATGTAGGGCTCAAACTTTTTTTTTTTTTTTTTAAGATTTTATTTATTTATTCATGAGAGACAGGAAGAGAGAGAGAGAGAGAGGCAGAGAGACAGGCAGAGGGAGAAGCAGGCTCCATGCAGGGAGCCGGATGGTGGGACTGGATCCCCGGTCTCCAGGATTACCCCCTGGGCTGAAGACGCCATTAAACCGCTGAGCCACCCAGGCTGCCCCAAGTTTTTTTTTTTTTTTTTTTTTTTTAATTGAAGTGTAGTTGACACACAATGTTACTTTAGTTTCAGTTGTACAGCTAGTGATTGCACAAGTCTCTTCTGCTAGGCTCACAGGCGTAGCTACTATCTGTTACCATACAACATTATTATAATACCATTAAATATGTTCTCTGTGCTATAGCTTTCATCCCCTGTGGCTTATTCCATAATTGGAAGCCTATGCCTCCCACTCTTCTTCACCCATTTTTTTCCATCCCCACCCCCTACCAATCTGGGAACCACCAGTGTATTCTCTGTATTTACAGGTCTAAATTGTGGTTTTCTTTTCTTAGGGTAAATACCCAGAAGTGGAATTACTGTATTGTATGGTATTTATATTTTAACTTTTTTTTTTTAAGACCTTCCCTACTATTTCACAATGGCTGTACCAATTTACATTCCCACCAATAGTGCGTGTGGTTCCTTTTTCTTGACATTCTTCCCAACATTTTTTTTGTTTTTGAAGATTTATTTATTTGAGAGAGAAACAGACTCCCCACTGATCCAGGGAGCCTGATGTATGGCTCAATACCTGATTGAGATCAGGGATCATCCTGAGATTATAACCTGAGCCACCTGAGCCACCCAGGCGGCCCACTTACTGTTCTTGTCTTCTTGGTACTAGACCTTTTGACTGGTGTAAGGGGATAACTGTTAGTTTGATTTGCACTTCCCTGATGGTTAGTGATGTTGAGCATCTTTTCATGTGTCTGTTGGTTAACACCATGTCGTCTTTGGAAAATGTATATTCAAGTCCTCTCTCGATTTTTAATTGGATTGTTTGGGAGTTTTTTGGTGTGGGGTTGTATGTATATATTTTGGACATTAACCCCTTATCTGATATATCACTTGTGGATATCTTCTCCCATTCAGTAGGTTGCCTTTGATAGTTTATTTTGCTGTGCAAAAGCTTTTCAGTTTGATGTAGTTCCAGTTAATTTTTGCTTTTGTTGCCCTTGCCTGAGGAAATAGATACAAAAAAAATATTTCTAAGACTGATGTCGAAGAGTTTTACTACCTGTGTTTATTTTAGTTTTATGGTTTCAGGTCTTACATTTAAGTCTTATTTTCAGTTTGTATTTGTATATGGTATAAGAAAATGATCCAGTTTCATTCTTTTGCATGTAGCTGTCCAGTTTTCCCAAAAGCATTTATTGAAGAGACTGTTCCTCATTTTCTTGCCTCCTTTGTTAAAAATTGACTACCTACGTGTGGGCTTTTTTCTCAATCTGTATTCTGTTCCATTGATCTTTGTGTCTTTTTTATGCCAACACCATCTGTTTTGATTTCTGTAGCTTTGTAGTATATTTTGAAATCTGAAACATGAAATCTCCAGCTTTGTTCTTAAGATTGCTTTGTAGCCAATTTTTGTAGATCGTTTGTGCTTCTATACAAATTTTAGGATTATTTGTTCTAGTTCTGTGAAAAATGCTATTGAAATTTTGATAGAGATTGCATTCTGTCTGTAGATTGCTTTGGGTGATAGGGACATTTTAACAATACTAATTTCTCTAACCCATGAGCATAGTATATCTTTCCATTTTTTTCTGTCATCAGTTTCTTCTGTCAACATCTTATCATTTTTAGAGCAAAAGGCTTTTATGCCTTGGTTAAATTTATTTGTAGGTATTTTCTTCTTTTTATGGAATTGTAAATGCAATTCCTTTTTCTTTAAGATTTTTATTTATTTTTCATGAGAGAGACAGAGAGGCAGAGACATAGGTAGAAGAGAGATGGGCTCCCTGTGGGGAGCCTGATGCAGAACTTGATCCCAGGACTTCGGGATCACACCCTGAGCCAAAGGCAGACGCTCGATCATTGAGCCACCCAGGCGCCCCAAAACCCAACAGATATTAATTTTGTATCCTATATCTTTTCTGAATTTGTTTTATTAGTTGTAACAGTTTTTGGTGGAGCCTTTAGGAGGTTCATGTAGTATCATGTCATCTATAAATAGTCAGAATTTTTTATTTCTTATCAATTTGGATGTCTTTTATTTCTTGTCTGGTTGCTGTGGCTAGGATTTGCAGTATTGTGTTTAGAAGAGAGGCAAGAGTAGGCATCCTTGTTTTGCTCTTCATATTAGAGAAAAAGTTTTCAACTTTTCACTGTTGAGTTCAAGATGGTAGCTGTGCATTTGTCATATATGACTTTTATTATATTGAGATACATTCCCTCTATATCCACTTTGTTGAGGTTCTTTTTTTTAATCATGTTGAATCTTGTCAGATGGTTTGTATCTATTGAGACGATCATGTGATTTTTATCTTTTTGTTGTTGTTAATGTGGTGTAATGCATTGATTTGCAGATGTTGAACTATCCTTGTATCCCTGGAATAATTTTGGTAATTTTCTGGTTGTTTTTCTTGTTCTTTTTGCCTTTCTTTTTCTCTTACCCTTCTCCCTTATTTAATGACTTTCAGTATTTTTCTCTTCTGAATGGGATCTTATTTATTCCCAATGATCACAGTCACATAAAACCAGTGCTCCTTACACTCCTTCATGTCCATCACCCAGTTACCTCATCCCCTCAATCCCCTCCCCTCCAACAATGCTCAGTTTGTTTCTGGTGATTAAGAGTCTCTTAGGGTTTTTTTTTTTTTTTAAGATTGATTATGTATGTATGTATGTATGTATGTATGTGAGAGAGAGAGAGAGAGAGAGAGAGAGAGAGAGAGAGAGAGAGGCAGAGACACAGGAGAAGGGAGAAGCAGGCTCCTTGCCGGGAGCCTGACGTGGGACTCGATCCTGGGACTCCAGGATCGCGCCCTGGGCCAGAGGCAGGGGCTAAACCGCTGAGCCACTCAGGCATCCCCCTCTTAGGGTTTTTATCCCTCTTTGATTTTGTGTTTGTTTTTTTTCCCCCTCCCTTCCCTTATGATCTTGTTTTGTTTCTTAAATTCCACATATGAATAAGATCATGTAATTGTCTTTCTTTGATTGACTTATTAGCCTAGCATAATACTCTCTAGTTCCATCCACATCCTTGCAAATAGCAATATTTAAAAAAATTTTTTTTTGAATGGCTGAGTAGTATTCTTTTTTTTTAATTTTTATTTGCATTTATTCTATGCAGAATTTACTCCCGGGCCATAAGTTTTTGTTTCTTCAGTTTCTTGGATATCTTGTTCTTCTGTGCAACCTCCTCTTCTGGTTTAGGAACAATCTGCTCTTTTTCAGTAAGAATCATCTCGATGTGGCAGGGAGAGCTCATGTATGGATTAATCCGGCCATGAACCCTGTAGGTTCTATGTCGCATCTTGGGGGCTTTATTCATCTGGATGTGCTCAATGACCAAAGAATCTACATCTAAACCATTAAGTTCAGCATTACTCTCCGCATTTTTAAGCATGTGCAGTAAAAATTCAGCACTCTTTTTGGGCCACCGACCCTGTGTCCAGCCCCACTGTTTGGCCTGAGCACACCTACCAACTCCACCATTGTAGCAACGGAATGGCATGCACTGCTTCTGCAAAGTGACATCTTTCAGATACTTGGTGGCTTTTCGAATATGCATACCCTTTTTTTTTAAATTTTTTTTTTTATTTACTTATGATAGTCACAGAGAGAGAGAGAGAGGCAGAGACACAGGCAGAGGGAGAAGCAGGCTCCATACACCGGGAGCCCGATGTGGGATTCGATCCCGGGTCTCCAGGATCGCGCCCCGGGCCAAAGACAGGCGCCAAACCGCTGCGCCACCCAGGGATCCCTGAATATGCATACCCTTGATGGCCTGGGCAGTTTCACGTGTGTTCTTAAAGTGAACACGAAGATTTGAACCTCTCGACTTGCATGATTTTGTAGGGTTTTCTGGGTCCAGCGAGTAGCGAACCATCTCCAGAGGTCACCTCAGGCCGCTCGGGGGAAGAGCGTGAGTAGTATTCTATAATATATATACACACTACATCTTTATCCATTAGTCTGTCGATGGACATCTGGGCACCTTGCATAGTTTGGTTATTCTGAACATTGCTGCTATAAACCATTGGGGTGCATGTGCCCCTTTGGATCACTACATTTGTATCTTTGGGGTAGATATGAGGTAGTGCAATTGCTGGATCATAGTGTAGCTCTATTTTCAGCATTTTGAGGAACCTCTGTACTGTTTCCAGAGTGGCCGTACCAGCTTGCATTTCCACTAACAATATAAAAGAGTTTTCCTCTTTCTGCATCCTCGGTACATCTGATATTTCCTGACTTGCTAATTTTAACCATCATGACTGGTGTGAGGTGGTATCTCACTATGGTTTTGATTTGTATTTCCAGGATCACAAATGATGTGGAGCATTTTATCGTATGTCTGTTGGCCATTTGTATGTTTTCTTTGGAGAAATATCTGTTCATGTCTTCTGCCCATTTCTTGGTTGGATTATTTGTTCTTTGGGTGTTGAGTAGATCTTGGATACTAGCCCTTTACCTAATAAGACAGTTGCAAAGATCTTCCATTCGGTCACTTGTATTCTGGTTTTGTCTACTGTTTCCTTTGCTATGCAAAAGCTTTTTATCTTGATGAAATTTCAGTAGTTCATTTTTGCCTTTGTTTCCCTTGCCTTTGGAGACCAGCCTAACAAGAAGTTGCTGCTTCCAAGGTCACAGAGGCTGCTTCCTGTGTTCTCTAGAATTTTGATGGATTCCTGTCTCACATTTAGGGCTTTCATCCATTTTGAGTCGTCTTGTATATGGTGTGAGGAAATTGTCCAGTTTCATTCTTCAGGATGTGGCTGTCCAATTTTCCCAACACCATTTGTTGAAGAGACTGTCTTTTCCATTGGATATTCTTTCCTGCTTTGTCAAAGATTAGTTGACCATAGAGTTGAGGGTCCATTTCTGTGTTCTCTATTATTTTCCATTGATCTATGTGTTGGTTTTTGTGCCAGTACCATACTGTCTTGATGATTACAGCTTTGTAATAGAGCTTTAAGTCCAGAATTTTGATGCCACCAGCTTTGATTTTCTTTTTCAGCATTCCTTTGGCTGGGATCCAGGGTCTTTTCTGGTTCCATACAAATTTTAGGATTATTTGTCCCAGCTCTGTGAAATAAATTGATGGTAGCTTGATAGGGATTGCATTGAATGTATAGATTGCTCTAGGTAGCATAGACATTTTAACAATATTGTTCTTCCAGTCTATGAGCATGGAACATTTTTCCATTTCTTTGTGCCTACCTCACTTTCCTTTGTGAGTGTTCTGTAGTTACCTGAATACAGATCCTTTGCCTCTTTTGTTAGGTTTATTCTTAGGTATCTTATGGTTTTGGGTGCAGTTGTAAATGGGATTGGCTCCTTAATTTCTCTTTCTTCTGTCTCATTATTAGCTTATAGAAATGGAACTGCTTTCTGTGCATTGACTTTTATATTCTGAATTGCTTTGCTGAATTGATGTATAAATTCTAGCAATGGAGTCTTGGGTTTTTCACATAGATTATCATGTCATCTGCAGAGAGTGACAGTTTGACTTCTTTACCTATTCGGATGCCTTTTACTTCTTTTTGTTGTCTGATTGCTGAGGCTAGGACTTCTAGTACTGTGTTGAACAGCAGTGGTGAGAATGGACATCCCTGCCACGTTCCTGACCTTACGGGGAAAGCTCTCAGTTTTTCCCCATTGCTAATGATATTTGCTGTGGGCTTTTCACATGTGGCTTTTATGATATTGAGGTATGTTCCCTCTATCCCTATACTGTGAAAAGTTTTATCAAGAAAGTATGCTGTACTTTGTCAAATACTTTTTCTGTATCTATCAAGAGGATCATATGGTCCTTGTCCTCTTTTTTTTTTTTTTTTTTTTAATGTAGCCTATCACATTGATTTTTGCAGATATTGAATCACTGTTGCAGCCCTGGAATAAATCCCACTTAGTTGTGGTGAATAATCCTTTAATGTACTGTTGGATCCTATTGGCTAGTATCTATGTGGGAATTTTGGCATCCATGTTTACCAGGGATATTGGTCTGTAATGCTCATTTTTGGTGATGTTTTTATCTGGTATTGGGATCAAGGTAATGCTGACCTTATAGGAGGAGTTTGAAAGATTTCTTTCCATTTACTGTTTTTTGAAACCGCTTCAGAAGAATAGGTATTAGTTCTCCTTTAAATTTTTGGTAGAATTCCCTGGGAAGCCATCTGGCCCTGGACTGTTGTTTGTTGGGAGATTTTTGATTACTGTTTCAATTTCCTTCCTGGTTATGGGTCTGTTCAGATTTTTCTTTTTCTTCCTGTTTCAGATTTGGTAGTTTATATATCTGTAGGAATTTATTTATTTCTTCCAGAATGTCTAATTTGTTGGCATACAGTTACTGATAATATGGTCTTACAATTGTTTGTATTTCTTTGGTGTTCGTTGTGATCTCTTTCAGTCATGATTTTATTTGGGGCCTTTTTCTGTTTAATAAATCTGGCCAGGGGTTTATTGATCTTACTAATTCTTTCAGAGAACCAGCTTCTGGTTTTGTTAATGTGTTCTATTCTTTTGGTTTCTATTTCGTTGATTTCTGCTCTAATCTCTATTAATTGTCTTCTGGATTTAGGCTTTATTTGCTGTTCTTTCTCCAGCTCCTTTAGATGTAAGGTTAGGATGTATATTTGGTGCCTTCCTTGATTCTTGAGAAAGGCTGTATTACTATATACTTCCCTCTTAGGACCACCTTCGCTACATCCCAGAGGTTTTGGGTAGTTACGCTTTCATTTTCCTTTGTTTCCATGAATTTTCTGAATTCTTTAATTTCTTTGTTGACTCATTCATTCTTTTTTTAAAAAATGTTTTTTTTATATATTTTTTTTAATTTTTATTTATTTATGATAGTCACAGAGAGAGAGAGAGAGGCAGAAACATAGGCAGAGGGAGAAGCAGGCTCCATGCACCGGGAGCCCGACGTGGGATTCGATCCTGGGTCTCCAGGATCGCGCCCTGGGCCAAAGGCAGGCGCTAAACCGCTGCGCCACCCAGGGATCCCTAAAAATGTTTTTAAAAGATTTTATTTATTCATGAGAGAGACAGAGAGAGGCAGAGACACAGGCAGAGAGAGAAGCAGGCTCCACATAGGGAGCCCAATGTGGGACTCGATCCCAGGACCCCAGGATCATGCCCTGAGCTAAAGGCAGACACCCAACCTCTGAGCCACCCAGGCATCCCTCATTCATTCTTTAGAAGGATACTCTTTCACCTCCATGTATTTGAGTTCTTTCCAAAATTTTTTTAAAATTTATTTATTCATGAGAGACACACACACACAGGCAGAGACACAGGCAGAGGGAGAAGCAGGCTCCATGCAGGGAGCCCGATGCTGGACTCGATTCCCGGTCTCCAGGGTCAGGCCCTGGGCTGAAGGCGGTGCTAAACCACTGAGCTACCTGGGCTGCCTCTCTTTCCAAATTTTATCTTGTGATTGAGTTCCAGTTTCAAAACATTGTGGTCTGAAAATATGCAGGGAATGATCCCAGTCTTTTGGTATTGATTGAAACCTGATTTTTTTTTTTTAAGATTTTATTTATTTATTCATGAGAGACAGGAAGAGACAGAGGGAGAAGCAGGCTCCATGCAGGGAGCCTGATGTGGGACTTGATCCCAGGACCCCAGGATGATGCCCTGGGCTGAAGGCAGGCGCTCAACCCCTGAGCCACCCAGGTGTCTCAAAACCTGATTTCTGAACCAGTGTGTGGTCTGTTCTAGAGAATGTTCCATGTGCACTCTAGAAGAATGTATATTCTGTTGCTTTAGGATGGAATGCTTTGAATATTCTATGAAGTCCATCTGGTCCAGTGTGTCATTCAAAGCCTTTCTTGTTCTGCTTAGATGATCTGTCCATTGCAGTGAGTGAGGTGTTAAAATCTTCTAGTATTCTTATATTATTATCAATATGTTTCTTTAATTTTGTTAGTTGGTTTGTATAATTGGCTGCTCCCATGTTAGGGGCATAAATATTTAGAAATGTTAGATCTTCTCATTGACTAGACCTTTTAATTAATTAATAAGTTTAATTAATATAGTGTCCTTCCTCATCTCTTATTACAGTCTTTGGTTTAAAATCTAACTTGTCTATGGGCAGCCTGGGTGGCTCAGCGGTTTAGCGCCTGTCTTCTGCCCAGGAAGTGATGACCTGAGGTCGAGTCGCAAGTTGGGTTCCCTGCATGGAACCTGCTTCTCCCTCTGCCTATGTCTCTCTCTCTCTCTCTCTGTCTCTCTCTCTCTCTGTCTCTCTCATGAATTAAAAAAAAAATCTAATTTGTCTGGCATAAGGATTGCTATCCCAATTTTCTTTTGATGTCCATTAGCATGACAAATGGTTTCTACCCCCTCTCTTTCAATCTGGAGATGTCTTTCGCCTAAAAGGAGTCTCTTAAAATAAATAAAAATAAAAATAAAATAAAATAAAAATAAAATGAGTCTCTTGCAGACAGCATATAGATGGGTCTTGCTTTTTTATCCAGTCTGATAGCCTGTGTCTGTCTTTTGATTGGGGCATTTAGCCCATTTACGTTCAGAGTAACTATTGAAATCAGATGAATTTAGTGCCATTGTATTACCTATCAAGTCACTGTTTCTGTATATTGTCTCTGTTCCTTTCTGGTCTATGTTACTTTGGGGTTCTCTTTGCTTAAAGATTCCCTTTTAATATTTATTGCAGGGCTGGTTTAGTGATCACAAATTCTTTTGGTTTCTGTTTGTCCTGGAAGCTTTTTATTTCTCTTTGTATTTTGAATGAGATCTTAGCTGGCTAAAGTATTCTTGGCTGCATATTCTCATTTAGCACCCTAAATATATCATGACAGTTCTTTCTAGCCTGCCAGGTCTCTGTGGATAGGTCTGCTGCCAGTCTAATGTTTCTACCCTTTTAGGTTATGGACCTCTTGTCCCCAGGCTACTTAGGATTTT